TCTCAAAAATTCAAAACATACTAAGGTGGAGTATCTTATATGGCTTGAGAACCTACTCGGATATTGCCAATCACCGATGATTATATTTACTTCTATCGAGTATCAACCTATTCTCTATCGACTTCGTCGAAACGGCTCGTTAGCATCATATTTTATTGTTGACTATTCGACACCTTTGCAAATGCTTCCCATTCAATCTCTTCTGCCCATTTTCGAACTGCAGCACAAAACCGATCCAGAGCGTGAATATCATTCGGTCGAGCTCTATGCTACTTGGTGTGCCAAATCGTTCATGGTAAATCGAAGTGCTGAGCTTAATCCATTTAGAACCGAATATTTTCTCTATGTTGACGCAGGAGCGTTTCGATCACGTAATTATCGGTTTCAATTGTGGCCGCATGGTGAAGTTATTCGAAGAATACTTTCTGACGATAGGCTTCTTCTCGGCATGATTGCTCCTCTTCCTCGGCGCTTCTGTCCATTGAACTACAAAACAGATAAAGGGCCAATCAAGATGAATCTTGTTGAAGGTGGCGTTATAGGCGGTTCAGCACGTGCTATTCACTGGTGGACATCAGTTTTTTACGAGACGATTAATAAATATGTTTCACGAAAATTCTTCATTGCGAAAGATCAATATCTAATGAATGCAATCGCTCTCGCGCATGCTAACCGTATTAATATGATGCTCTCGTTTCATGTCTCCTGTGGTGATGTATGGTTCGCTTTCGGGCCCCTACTTGCAAACAATTACGAAAAAACAAATTTGTCTTATTCATTGAGCTGCCAACAAGAAGATTTGTCTTCCTTCATTATTTCTTTTGAAACTGTCTGCAATAATGTAACGAATTTGATGTGAACTTGAGTAGCTGTAAAAAAAGAAGGCCGACGGATAAAGTCACTTTTTGCTTTTAATCATGTCAGATCTGACTTCTAGTATGTGCACGATGTTTATTCATAAACAGGTGAGTGAGAGAGATGGAAGTGTATGAGCACTATACGAATATGAAGCGAAAAAACATCTGTGTATCTGACTTTTGTGTATGTATGTGGTGAGAAAAAGAAATAACGTAACAAGTAAAAATGACAGAAGATCAATGGGAGAAAAATTCAGAAAGGAAAGAAAGAACGAATGCAGAAGGAACGGACTTAGTGAACGAATTAACGATAGTTGACAGAGAACCAGAACGATTATTTATATAGCAAGAGCGGTTACAAACCATACCTGACATATATTGAAGAAGTGCAATTCCAAGATGCAAAAAGTGAAAGAATGATGGACCCTGATTAACTGTAAACAAGAATTTTGATCGTGTGTTTCAGTCTGTAAACATGATCAACAGAGCAGTACGTTATTATACCTATCGCAGTATACAGTTGTCCAAGGGTCTTTTAGATGTGTACATCACTTTTGCAATATATGTGGCGCAAAGTGGATGGTCCAAATTTGTGACTACATTTCTTTTATTGATTCACTCGTCTTTGTTATTAAGTTTTGATTGAAACCTTCTGATTGACTATAAAGTGAATCAAGATCGTTGCTGAAGCTCTAGTCCCATTTATTGTAAAAGAAAACATTTTGGTCAAGACACAGGCATTCCATTTAAACTGAGAGCCGAGCTGAGAAGCAATTATTTAATAGGCAGAAACTAAATAATATGTTTAGCACGCTAATAATTAGAAATAAAGGGTGCAAGCAAGCAAGTAATAATGCACAGGTAGATCTAGAAAAAACGAAAGAGAACGAGTGCTATGAAGTTGAGTCCATCTAATTTCATGTCAACGTAACCCTATCCGATACAAAGTTAGATTCAGAATATTCAGATGTCACCGATTCAAATAGTGCCGTGAAATGACAAAAACAATTTGATCAATATTTCAGCTCCTCAGTGGTTTTATGGATGCACTCTTAAGTGCTACCCAATATTCGATAAACGTCCACCAGGTTGTGAGTGTGGAATGACAATAACACGATGATCACTCAATTCCGAAATCGGACGGAATTTCGGGAATTCCATGCAATTCCGTGTAATTCACGTTCGACTTAATTCTGGGAATTCCGTTCGGGAATTGGATGCAATAGCCAGGAATAACGAATAACAATAACCGAATGATTACTCACCTCCGGAATCGGACGGAATTCTAGGAATCGAAATAGGAATGTGGACTGCGGGAACTGGTTCCTAGGATTCCGGAATTGTGTTGAAAATGATAAACGGAATTTCGGAAATTAGATGGAACTGGTTCCACAATGTTCGACATCGCGGAATAGAATGTATTCTCATACTGATTGTACCGCTGATTTACATTCTCTGTAGACTACCTATAGACCAAGCTTCAGACGCTTAGCTCTTATAGGGACTAAGAGCCGAGGGAGGCGGAATACTTTTGGCCAGTAGTATATCATCCAGTCAGTTATATTGAAAAGAACTTTATTTCTATTTACATTCTACATCTTTTCATATTCATTGCTCCTATTCTTTAATACTTTCTTTGAAGTAAAAACATTCTTCTAGCAGAGGTGCAGAATCTATCCGCGTGCGCGAGCGGTCGCTGGGGAAAATTTTACATTCTTTCAAATGAATCTTGGTTTATTCATATATGTATCGATAAGATTTTCTACCTTTTTCCTTTCTGGATGGATGTGGATTTGGATTCTCTCGTCAACACCCACACCCACCGACACTCATGTGGTCCATTATGGTCTAATAAAAGATTAAGTATAAATCAATAGAAGAAGTACTTGCATGTCGATTGTATTTCAGCTTTTGCGATACCGACTACGATATAACTATCTTTCCTAAAATCTTTTTACAATTGTCAACAAAGAACTTACTAATCCATGTGTAATAGAATAGTGTAAGTATCGTTTTAATAATTCATATGGACAAACCGATAGAAAAAGATTTTTCTAGAGAAAAAATGCGTTTAAATAACAATAAAACGTATCGTAGGAAACACGCTCTTTAACGATTCGTTTACGTTTTTAATCAGAAAAGGCGCGCTTAAAGTCTAACGAAAACACGCGAATGGATTAAAAAAGTGTACCTATTAAATGCCGTTTTTCTTCAACTTTTTCATACGTAGTTTTATCATTTTGTCAAGATCAATAGATTTAACGACTATGATAAGAGCTATGATATACTATATTTAATAGTATTCTGCCATTAATTCAAGTAGTAAAGTAATAAATTTTCAGCAGATAAGATAAAAAAGAAATACATTAAACGAGCAAACTTGTGTTGTCATTTATTGAGAAGTCTATTTTCATATTTCAATGGGGTTCGATTGCAAGAAGGTTACAATTTTCAGCATTTGCTCTTGCATTTTCCTATTTATTACTGTTCATTTTAGGTAATTTGGTTTGCTGGGTTCTTCTTGTTAGGTGCAGTTATTGTATTAATACCCTGTGTCGTAGTTATCGCTCGTCGTTCTAATGATTGTCCTGTCCAAACGACACTCCTGGCGTCAACTCCTTTGGGGACGACGTCTGCCAGAATGACAATGACGACAACTCCGACAACAATAAGGAATACCAGTGATTATCAATTCAATAGTGACTGCTATCAATCGTTGACAGGTGGACATTATTTTGATCAAGCAGACAATCTTCGTTTGGATCGCCCTTCTTCACCTCAATTTCAGCCAGTTAGTGGGAAAAGTTTAATCTATTTAAGACGTCAGTATTGTATGCCTGATTTACGTGGATCAACAACAACTTTGCATTGGTTGGATATAGAAATCAATAAAACTATTCAATTCACGCAACCTATTTGGGCCATACATGATCAGCAACTAAGAACAGAAGTATTTCGTATATTTATTCAAACTATTTTTTTCTCCTTAGTTCTTTTGGATAGACAATAATACGATATTTTTTTATCTAATCGAGCGTCATCAGGTTTTACTCAAATTTTTCAACTTACACTTCCTGCCGATGTATCATTGGTGACTAATTTTATCGATCCGATTCAAATAATAAATTATCCATTGGATATTGACAATCTTTTAGTTAATCGACAAGCAAAACGTCTGGTATTTGGTTATCAAGTCTATGCTAATTTAAACATCGAAGAAACAGCTGCTTAACAAGCGGCAGAAAAGTAAGTGGTCGTTCGATTTATCAATTCGATAAACTGTTCATTCGCCCAGTGAAAAATTTTTGCGATTTTCAATCGGATTTTTGTGCAACAAAATCAAAATTAAAATCGATTGATAATTTTGATTATTGTTGATCATGACTTAACTATTATTTGATATTGTTGCTTATCCAGTGTATAATTTTCTCATTAAGATCTGAT